GTCCTTTTTACTTTGTCGCTCAGCCAGGGCACCTTCTCTCTGTGCCTCTAAGGGTGAAACCTTTGTGAGCTCCTCTCTTCACCTCTCACCCTTTGATGTTCTGATGAATGTCTGTTCAAAGCGGGGAAATACACTGTAAGTGCTGCTGTCTATTCTGAGCACTGTTCATCAGTTAATTTAATATTTACAGCACTGTCTGTCTGCTATGTCTCACACTTGAAGCTGCAAAATTTCTCACTCCAAGAACAAAATGAATCATTTATAGTGAGGATGGACAAAAACAGGTGTGCTTTATTCCCCAAAGAATGCATTCTAATATATTTTATATGCATAACATGCTATAAGAGTAACCACTGGAGAAATGATTCACATAAGCCTGTATAGGGGATCTTGCTGGGGCCTTGTGGAGTTAATGTGTTTCCTTAGTTTCCTCTGGGTCCTCAGAGACCTGTAGGTTCATTTGAACTGGAGAATCTAATGTTTATAGGTGTGATCCGTGAGAATGAATGACCTGACCTGTCCAGGATGCACTTTGTCTTTTGTCCACTGTGAGCTGGGAGATTGGATGGAGGCCTAGATGATAATGCTGGATGTCTGAGTTTTTTTGGTTTCCTGTAACATCTTGCATACAGAATATCTATTTCACAAATATTTCATTCAGCTTCCCACCACAGTAGAAAACCAAAATCATGGCTTTAAGTATAGCTTTTCTTCACTACTTTCAAAGGGAAATATACTTTGTCCTCCACTATGACGGCTGTTGTTACTGGCTACTTTGCAGATCAAGACAAAACATGCAAAACATACAATCAGCTTAGATGCAGCAACAGAGATTAAAAAGTATGCAAAGTAGCACTTAACCACTTATAATTCTGCTTGCAGAGTAATGCATTAATATAAAATAATGCAGTAATCTGACAGAGGCCATTCTGGTACTTTTGATACATGCAGTATGTTTCTGTACTTTTACATCAGTAGAATTAGGAGTGTGTTTTCAGTGTGGTCTTGCTATTTTAAGTAAAAGATCTCAACACTTCTTCTGCAATTAGTAATTCCAGTTTTGTCAAGAGATTTTATGCACCTGGATCTGATTGACATGATATTAACCGTCACTGTCACATGATAGTTGCTTGTTTATTCAGTAGGTACAATACAAAGCAGTGGTGTCAGTTATTAATTCAAGCTGGTGTTTCAGCACAGCAGGCTCAGTATGGGAATGACCTAATGCCCAGAACAACTGTCAGCAGGTAAAACTAAGCTAAGGCATCCACACCTGCTGCTGCCTGGGATGCTGGTTGCTGCTGTACAAGATAAGTACATGAGGAGAAAAGAAGCGGTGATCTCTTCACTAAACTGCTGCAGCAGTCAGTCAAACGAGGGGGTATGAGGTGGAGGGAGGATTAGGATGACTCTGGCTGTGATGGTGCAGTGGCAGCCAGTTCTAACAAAAACAGATTCCTGCACTTCTTGTGCACATGATGATAAATGAACAAACCTTGACCACTTTTAATCATTACATTGGTCCAGGCCACAAACAACTAAGTGTCATTAGTCGAGTAAATGGTGCCATCTACAGGACATGGAGCTGAAATTAAGTAACATTTAAAATATCTTGTGCAATAGTCACATAAATTTCACTCTGGAGAGGTTTCATACACAATGGGTGCATGTGATTAAGGATTATCAGGTGCGAAGGTCTAAAGTAACAAGGTGATCTGTGTTTGTATTGCTTCACATCTAAGCTTCTATAAATCTAGGATAAACAAAATCTCATCAAATATTGTGAAATACAATACTGTGCTGCAGTGTAGTACAATGTTGTTCCAGGAGTGAAACGTTTTTGAATTATGGAATAATACCCAGAAGTTTTAAGTTGATCTCGTTGACCCTTACTGTATTTGGGATGTGTTTTGTAGAGGTCACCAGCAGACGTCAGTGCAGGATTAGTCACTGCTTCAGCATCTTCACAATGATGTCATGCATTTTAGCGCAGCAATACAGTGTAGTAACTTCAAATAAGAGCTATTTAAAACACAGCATTCTACCACGTAATTTCTATCTCATTTGTTGTGCTGTATTTTCACTATATTTTAGATTAGGCTTTAGTAGTATTCATTTATCATATAGTAATATATTATCTGGCTAGGCTAGTTTATATCTTATCCAACATTCTTGGACCATTATACTAGCCTTTTTACTCCACTACATGTATATGATAACTTTAGTTCCCTTTCAGAATCAGATTAATAAAGCAAAACACTTTTTAATCATAAGACATTCACATGCTACCCAGAGGTACTTTAGTTTCCCCTTTACCAGCTGCAACATTAAATATGATGTACAAGATAATGAATCAGTAATTATAATCCAAGGTGAAATGTGCCATTCCACATAATGAGTGCTAACACCTTTGTACTTTTACTCAAGTAACATTTTGAATGGTGCCAGAGTATTTTTACAGTGTGGTATAGCTACTTTCAGAGTATTTTTACAGTGTGGTATTGCTACTTACACTCGGGTAAAGGAGTGAAGTACTGTAAATTGTGCAGGTCTTCTGTCTCAGATTAAACATTGCGACAATCACAAAATGGCTGTTTTTCTCTTTCATTATCAAAAATGCATAGAGCGCAGTGAACTAAGTGAGCCAGGGTGCGCGCCTCTGGTTGAGCATCTGGTGCGCGGCCCCGCCTCTCTCATCATCCCGTGCAGTAGCGCAGCTGCGGAGATGCTGGGACGGTGTCGCGCACCGCTGTCCGTGCTCCTCGTCTTCCTCCCTCAGTGAAACCGAAGATGAACCACAAACACTACAACGGGAGGACTTAACGCGTAGCAGCCCCTTCTCCATTTTATCTGACTTTAACACGTTCGTGTTTGAGTTTATTCCCGGTGAAAATGGCGACGGGGGCAGGCTGGCAGCCACAGTACAACACCTCGACTACCAAATATACCCCCGTTCCGGCGTCCAGCATGTTTTACGACGGGAATTTAACACTGGAATACACTCAAGACATGCATTTGAAGATGAGCAAGAAGATAGCACAACTAACCAAGGTGTGTGAATGAATGACGGAGGATGTGGTGAGCAGGCTGGGGTGTAGAAGGAGTAGTACTGTAGTACTGAGCTGGGATGGGATGTCGTTTGTAAACACGCTAAGGAGGAAGATGCTGTTATTGTGTTGTATACAGGTACAGTACTCAGTCAGCAGGTCTGTACTAGTGTTAACTGCGCTGCAGCAGTACACTTCTGCATCTCTGCATAGTAGGTCACCATTAAACACCTCAGGAGGGGTTTCTCTTATACTAGTGCTAGTTGTTTATCAAAGAGTTGCATTCTACTGTGAGCTCACTACTCTGCAGGCTTGTAGTACACTGCACTGTGCATGTGTATTTATGAGTGATTACACTGAGAGCTCGGAGCTTTCCAAATGCCCAGAGCTTTATGTTGCTGCGAATGTAGCCTCTGCAACATTAAACCTGCGTGTGTTTTTCGGCTAGGGTGTCACAGAGTATTGCATAGTATCACACTGTCACACAAAGGCTGTGGGAAGTTATGTAATCTTGGAGCGATGCAGGGGTTTGGCAGAGCTGCTTCTGTGTAGTCCACCTGAAGCTGGCGGACGATACAGGGCTATTGTGGAGTAGATTTAAGGTGCTTATGTTCACAGCACTTTAGGCTTTGTCTTAGTGGAAGCAGTTTAAACAACCATGGGGAGACAAAAGAGACAAAAGCAGGAGTAGAGAACAGAACATTTTACATACCAGGCATGGTGATACTATCCCAGTACAGAATTAGACAGTGTGCTCAACAAGCTGTACAAATATCCATGGTGTTATGAATAGATTGGAAATGTGGATGTTCAGGGTTGAAATGCAGTGTTTCAGTAAAATGAAATAAGGATTGGCAGCTCCACAAGCATCAGCTTTAACACTCTGATGGCAGTGTTTGGGTCCATGCATTTGCACTGGGGCTTTTCTTTTTATGCTTACCAGGTGGACGCCCACTCAGCTGTGTTAGCTCTTTGACATTCCTGACAACCTGCCCAGCGCGTTTCTTGCCCAGTGCATGCTGGGAGAGGCTTCAAATTTGCATGGTTGCAGTTTTTATTGAGGGAGCCGCTCAGTTATTTTGTCATAAAGTTACTGATTGGATCTTTAAATGCACGATGAGCCCTGGGAGCTACAGTATCTGCAGCTGCTCTCTGCTTGCAGCTCAGTCTGTTAAGGGAATTTCAGTTATAATATTCAGTGTAAACATGAGCCCTGAGGTCACCAGCAGAGATGAGAAAAGAGAAGGCGTCTGACGCTCTGTGCAGGGCCATTGTCTGCAGCTCATTTGGAGATGGTTTAACTTTGTCACCTTGCTGCCACAGCAACAATCAAGGACTCCTGGAATATTGTGTTAGACCTACTGTCGTGTTACTACATGATGAGATTAGGGCGTGTGAGTAGCTGTGTTGATTAACCAGGTGGTAGATTGACAAAACAGTACTCTGCAGCTGTTTGATTACATTTTAAATGAGTCTAGAAGATGGATTTCTCAAGTCATATGTATTTTATAGCCTCATTGAAAGCAGCACACAGTTCCACATGTCTTTGCTTTTTAAAAATTCAGTGTTATGGCAGAGTTATGTCTTTATTTTGCTGGTGTGTGAGCAGTTACTATATCTTTTTACTAGTCCTGCTCAATGTGACACATGACTCCTCTGTAGAAAATGTGTGAATCTGCTATCACTGCGTTGCAGTTCACCTTTGTTTGGGTCATTCTTCTTACAGGGCTGCTAATTCCTAAGTAAATGCATGTTCTCTCTGAAGGTTTTGTGTTTTTCAGTCACACTTTTTTCACCTAGCCCTCCAGTGCTGAATTCATGCAGGAACTGCATCGTTTGCTTCAGTAACTGCTGTGCAGCATTGCTTTTACAGTGCTTTTAGGAAAGTAGGACATTTTTTACAGCAGCATTTCTTGTTGCATTGCCTTACAACATCAGCAAAAAGATTAATTAAATTAATGCCACAAATATAAAAATGGCTGGAGGACAGATGTTCTTCTTTAACAACAGTAATCGGTTATCATTTATTCAACAATTTTATACATACCGTGTCTGGAAAAAGGGAAATGTGCCATCACAGATACCAGAACCAGTGTTGACAAAGAAAAGCAGCCGGTCTTCACAGCTGCAGGACCCAGAGGATGCGTTACAATTCATTTCTGCTTGAAAATTGCCTCTACACAATGCTCAGAATAGTTAGAGATTAATTTTTCAGCTCTTCACCCAACCAGACAAAAGTGGTTTATCTCTTAGCATCAATTTAAAGCAATCACATTATTTTGCTCAGCAGGGCGGCAGTACAGTAGCTGCCTTTCACAGCTTTTATTTCTGTGCTGCCTGCAAGCAGCAAAGAAACCTGAGGAGAAATGTACAGTCCAGGATGTGTAGTGGTTAATACAGTGCCACACACATTAACACAAAACTTCAAACTAAGACAAAGACATGCATCGACGGAGCACTTCTACAATCCTCTCTTGCATGCACCTGTGTGCAGCCGTGAATAGCTCTAATCTTGGCTGTTTTACACAAGTGGAGCTATGTTTGCTGAAGAGGAGCACATCTGGCGCTGAAGTTTATTTTCTGGGTCACTTTGCAGCTGAAATGCATTTTTGATTCAAATCCAGAATGCGGGGATCAGCTAGTGGCTTCACAGCTGGACTGAAGTGAGCGAAATGATGCTGTAGAGTTGCATTGTGTTGCTGCAGTGGTGGAGCATGTACTGGAGGTCAAGAGGTCAGTGACAATATCTTATAGCTGGTTTGTGTCTCCAGACAGTGGGGATCACTGTGGTCAACAAATTATGAAAATGCCAGTGTGGTTGGCAGGACAACCAGCTCACCCTATCAGAATGAATAGTTATTAATAGTTGTTGGCCTGCATCTTTGGGGAGACTAAAAAAAAAGAGGGAGAAATACATATTCATTAGTAGCTCCTGTGCCCTTGTTCGTGCCTGCTGTGTCTGTGACTTAGGTTGTGATGTGGATTTGTGAAACCCAGGCTGGGCAGTCTACACGCTGAGTGTCCTTGGAGCATCGGAGCAACACAGCACAGAGAGAAGGAACAGATGCAACATAAGAATCCCTGACAGGAAGGGCAAAGTAAACACACGGTGCACTTCAGCTAATTGGTAGCAGTGTTGCCACTTCATGGCGTGTGTGGTGATGGAGACAGAAAACTAACAGCCTTAATGTCAAGGGATCGCGTTAAGACTACAGCACCTTGGAGAGTTTATCTTTCATTAACCCTTGAAGTAGTGATGGTAATCCTGTGCAAATGATGAGAGAGAGCAACGGAGTTCTGTCCCACCTGGTTGATTATTGGCCTCTAGATGAAAATTTGCTTCTGACCGGTCATTGGTCCACCTCCATGATGAGAGATACAGTGGAGTCTGATTGATTCCACACACAGAATCGATCTGAATTGTCTCTAATGATTCAGTTTAATGAGATTCTTCTAGGATGTTTTAGTGCACCGTAATGGTCTAAATTTTCTTCCCCTCTGACAGGAATAAAGCGATGCAGGAAGAAACGTAATCTTTATGATCGTTCTGAATATTCCAGGCAAGTAATTCATCATTTAAAAAATTCATTTATGCGATTTAGAAGGATTCTAGTACCCAGAGTTGCATAATATTGGAACAATAAATATTGCTGTTCATATCCAGTAGTGGCCTCTTCTGAATAAATGTGATTATACAGCTCCATGCAAGCTGTGCAATTGTCCATTTAAATAGAAGGCCTCAAGTAGAGAGCAGGAGGGACTCCACTGCACAACATACAACACAAATGACTAGTTTTAGTTTTTCAACTTAAATCTTACACACTGAAGCTGCAGATATGAGCAAATCCTGGAGGGCTGGAGCTTTGCTTCTGCCTTTGTCATTATCATATCCACAACCTGTGCATCTGCTCTCCTGCCGCTCCTGTTTTTAGGAGGAAGCACGTGGACTTTTTCCTCTCCTCGAGCATGGTAGGACGTCTCAGTCAGGATGCTGTGTTTCCAACACTGCATGACTGTAGTAGCTGCAGGCTGCTGTGTTGCCTTCAGGCTTGGTTTGCTTGGAGCCTCAGGCCTGAAACAAGCAACACATTTCACAGTGAAATCAAATCCTGTGTAAGCTCAATAATGTCACAATCTGCTTCCACACAGCCGCTCTATGATAGAGCCTGAGAAGCTATTTAAAGCATCAAATCCCAGGCTTCAAATTAGAAACTGTTGAGTTTTTCAAGTTAATCAACTGTATAATAAACACACCATATAATCATATCAAATATAATATCAGATGTAGAAGCAACTGATGGGAAATGTTAATAGAAATAACAATTGCATACAGTATCACTGAACCTTGGCTATAAAGTGGTTAACATGAGAGAACGTTTGCCGATTGTTATGGTAGTAAATGTATCACTTACTTGGTAGGTCAAGCCTTTAACACTTTAATGAGGAAATATGTTTTCATCATTGTTTACTGGAGAATGTTTTTGCAAACAAACTTTTTTTAAGACCCTGAGGAAATTGAGCATTAGTGTGAGACTACAGATGTGAGTAGCAACGTGAGGTGTCTTGCTGGGAGGCAGAGAGACAAAGAAGAAAGGGAGATGAGGGAGAGGAGAAGACAAAGAACAAAAAAGGGGGACAGACAAAAGGATGAGAGTAAAGGGAGAGAAGAGAGATGAAAAGCAGCAGGCATACCAGCAGCATCATTAAAATAATCATGTATAATTGAAGGAGCATTTCCATGGCAGGCTTCCTGCTGGGAATCAAAGGCTCACAGTCAAGAGGGACTGAGGGCTAAAGCCTGCCTCGCTCTGCTTCATTTCAACCTTGGCTGAAACACTGGTAAGGCAACAGCACCGATGTGGAGGTAAATAAAAACATCCAGGTGGTGACTGTCATCAGGCAACCAGCCACCATAATGAGGAGAACTCTGTTAGGCTGGTTGCACCGCAGAGTTCTGCTGTGGTTGTGCGAAACATTGAATTGATTAACTGGACGACATACTGATATTAAGACAAAGAGCCGGTGGTGATGAAAAGGAGCATGTTTCTGATCACCTAAAACGTCATTGCTGATCAAGTGGTGTTAAAGGTCAGAACGTTTTGTCATGAAGCCTCATGAAGGAGAATTACCATACATGTGCATTACATGCTGTATGAGTGTGTGGAGCTTTTCATCTCCCCTGTATGTGGAATAAAATGTAGAGTTGTGAAGCCAGCGGGCTAGAATTCAGCTGACCATGACTGAACGTTAGCTGCTCACTGGGAGCTTCAATTTGCTGAAGCTTTACACTTTTTTAAAGCTACTGTATGTCATTTACTTCCAGCACTTACAATTTAAAACCTATTTTTGTGAAGCAAAAGTATCAGTCATCAGGTTTACTTACTGTAAGTCAGGCTTTTCACAAAACTACTGACTTCTCTCAGCTTCCTTCACAGTGAGAAACACATTGTTAAAAAATAATAGGGTGGACAAACAGTTGGGACAGGCACAAAACACTCTGGGGAAAAAAGGAGGTGAATTCATTTGAGAGCAGCTGAGGTGAATATACAACTGATTAAAGCATAATTCACAGGCAGAGTGTGAAACCTGTTTGTCCATTCCTCCTGCTATTTGTCGAACTCTCTTCACTGTAGATCAATTTATCTGATATTACAACAGTGTCTTCATTCTGTTGTCTAATTCTCTCCCTCTCTTCAGGTAATTTATGCTCTCAACACCAAGAACGATGAACACGAAGAAGAAATTGAGTCTTTGAAAGAAGCCCACGAGGATGAGGTGCGAGCACCAAACACCCATGATTATATAGAGCATGCTAGCATGTGGACGAGATCGCTATCATCATTCTCATGGTCACAGATCCAAACACTCTCATCTTGTTTATTCTTAAAACACCAGTAGTCCATGAGTTTCACGGGAGAAATTGTGCACTCTGCAGGGCGGTCACGGACCTCTAAATCACACAGACGTGTTTTGTTTTCATCCAGCTCTGTTCAAAGTGCTGACACACTTACACAGAAAAAAAATACAGTGATGCCATTTAGGCAGAGTGAAGACTAATTAAGGTCTTTACCAGCATTTGTTACCTGCAACAGGTTGAAGGCTGATTAATTTGCTTTACAGAAGGCAGCCAGGACAGCTCCAGTGTTATGATTAGTCCCCCTCACCAGGAGGGTGAGGGAGAACTGAGGTTGGACTCAAGATGGCTGACCCAGGTGCTAGTACAAAAACAGGTGGTTTATTGGTGGGGATCACAAAAGGAAGAGTCAATGAATACATACAACCAGGGCTGAGCAAATACGGCTGAGGAGAACAGGACGACCAGGGGAGAAGATGGGCTAATGGCACAAAAAAAAACCAAAAAAAAAAAACCAGAAGAGTGGGAGGAACAGGACGGACAGGGGAATAGACAAGCTAACCAAGGGGACAGGCGGACGAAAAGGGAAATCCACAGCACAGGAACTGTCAGCGTGGAAAACAAAAGAACATCTAGCTAACCACATGGAAAAAACCAAACTCAGAGATCCACAGCACAGGAACTGTCAGTGTGGACGTATAACACTTAACATATAGCCAACGTTATATGTTAACGTTAATATTATGTTATATGGAATAAGTCAGGAATGTGTCGCATGCAGACATAATACAGAAGAACTGTAACATAAAGTGAACATGACATTTAGTAAACAATACGTGACCCTGCTTTATTTTTACAGTAGTGCAAAGCATTGTTACAATACACACATCTACATAAGGCTATAAACCTGCTATAACCAACGTGCGTGTGCGTGGTTGTTTGTCTATGTGTTAGCCCTGCGATGGATTGGCGACCTGTCCGGGGTGTACCCCGCCTTCGCCCAATTGCCGGCCGGTCGTCAGTCAGGGTTGAATCTAGACACAGAAGGCCACATCATATGAGTCAGACCATTCAGGAATTCCTTATGTATTCATCTTTTTTCTCTAATTTGTTACCTGCATGTACAGTATGTGCTCCATCTGCAGTTTCTAATAAGTGATGCCAGTTACCAAAGTGTGATTACATGTGTCCGTTCTTGCCTAACCACCATGTAGCTGTTCCTGCTGCAGAAGAGCTCGGATCAGCAGCATGTTTGATGTGCTGGCTCCCATACAAGAATATTAATTTCCTCTCCAGAGAAGCTTCTCCAGATTGTCTGCTTCATTCACTCAATTGTCAGGATGTCATGGCAGGGAGAATGTGTCCTTTAAGGGGGACCAGATGATTCAACATAATTGGTCTTGTTGGGTACCAGCCAACAACACACACACACACACACATCAGCCTAAACTGCTTGTAATTTAATATAGAGGTGATTTTTCTTGACTGGTGTCACACACACACACAGCAGATTAAATTTGGCTCTCGGTCAAAAAACATGATCCTCAGTGATGGGCAGGGATTATTTAAGGACAAGACCTAAGACAGAAATAAATGGGTTTAAATAGTTAATTTTATTTCATTACTTTCAAAGAAAACCTTTTGTTGTTAAATTAATTAGTGTTGTATTCAAGTGTTACATTGTTATAGTGGCACTTTTCTCCCCTGCCAACAGCCATTTCCTGCAGGTAGCAGTGTTGTGCAAGCCCCTAAGTTTGTTTGTCTACACATTTTTCTATTTGCTTTTTATTTCCAGCCACTTTGTATGTGCAGTTTGGAAGAATCATGTTAATGACGTGTCACATTATGTTGTGTGGTATAAAAAGTAATTGAAAGTAATTTATTCTAGAGTTATTTCTGCAGCATTATTATGTATCCTCCTGCTCAGGTGCAGCATATTGTGACAGAAACCAGAGACAAGATCATGCAGTACAAGAGCAAGATGGCGGACGAGGCAGACCTGAGGCGGCGGCTGGCCAGTCTGGAGGAATCTGTCGAACTCCATGAACACATGAAGAGACAGGTCATTCACAGCTGCTGGGCACCTTCATTTAGTACAGTTGTCTTTAGTGAGGCTTTGTTTGTGTCATTCTATTTATGGATACACTGCATTGTGGTGTCATAGTTCTGCAGTAGCCCTTTAATGAAGCAACTTAATCTGAACTGAACTGTGCGGCTTCTAATAATCCTATAATATCACAGTTGTAGATTTGTGTAATGTACTGCAGAAAAATGTAAAGTAGCGGTTGTGATGTTCTGTTACTGTCAGGCTTTAGCAGAGTTTGAGATGTACAGACAGAGAATGGAGGACTCCCAGCTCTGCACCGAGGCCCAACACACACAGAGAGTGGTCTCTATGAGCAGAGAGGTAAAGCTTTACCCACACCCACAGACACACACATACACATGGCTATGTATAACCACACAGCCTGGTAAAAACTGGGTTCTGTTGATGTTGTACTGGGAGGGTTTAGAAGCATTCCCAGACCAATTTAATTTTAATAAAATCTAAAAAAAAGTTCATAAAATATTCTCTGATGTGCTCACTCTTGAGTTGTATACTTAAACAAGTTGTGTTGCACTGTGCTAGCACAGCTGGTGACAAAGGTAGGACCTGAATATAATTATAGCATAAGCTGCCAGTCTTCTGTTACCTGCCGGTGAAAAGTGGCACCTGTCAGTTGCATGTTGTTGTTATGAGGCACACAGCATCAGCAGCAGGAGACCGGTCACCTACTACAGAACAGCAGCATCACAGTGATATATCACAAATGAACATCATATGACACTAAACAACCAGTGGCACACCATCCCCATGCTGGTGAGAAGTGGTACCTGCTGGTGAGTGACAGTAAGCTGCACACAGCAGCAGCTCATCATAATAAGCTGTGGCATAATGTCAGTACTGTATATGCTGGTGAGAAGGGCTAACTGTCAGTGGAACATGACTTGTCATTTTTGTGTCTACAATGCAAGAACTGCCCTTGAATTTTATTAACATTTCAACCAGTTACAGGTCTTGAGGGAGACATCAGCATGTGCCACTAGAACAGTCACTTTTGGTCTAGGTGCTGCAGCTGCCTCCCAAGCAGCAGTCCAACAAAAATGTATTACAGACATTATAAAAAGGTTGGCCATAAATCTGTATGATTACATACATCATAACATGCCATGTCATCATACCATGACACAGCATCACATACGCCTGCTTCTGTAGAGTCTGATGGCAGTGGGTATAAATGAGCACCTGAGGTATAATCATCTGGGTTGAGCTCGGCTCATCGCTTCATCAGTGCTGAGACTGGTCTGTGTTAGTGTTGGTTGTATCTGTTGTCCTCTTCTCTGCCACTGCCTTCACACTGTTTAGTCCTGGCTTGACCAGCCTGATCGAGTCTGCTGGCATCACATCCCATATTACATTTTTATATATTTTTTCGTCTGATCTTTTGTTGTAACAGCAAACACGGACACGTTTCTTTGTCGCTGCCTTTTGCACATATAAAGGTGTATAGAATCTGCGGACTATTGTTTTGGCACAGAGAGAAACTGAAAGCACACAGTGTGGTGGTAGTGTAAGTGTAAGTGTTGTGCTGTTTTCTCATTATTACAGGGTTTTTTTCAAGAGAACCTGTTAGCATTTAGCTTAGCAGGGGTAGAGACTGGTTGGCAATAACACACAAACGGTTCCAACAGAATAGAACATGTTTCATGGTTTCAATAGGTGGAGGAAATGCGTCGGGATTTTGAGGAAAAGCTGCGAGCGTTCAGCCAGGCTCAGGCCCAGTTTGAGGCGGAAAAGAGGCGAGCGCTGGAGGATCTGAGGACCACCCACCGCCAGGAGGTGGAGGAACTCCTCGACAACCAGCAGAACCAGAGCGTCACCTCCACTGAAGACCAGGAGAAACTGGCTGAGCTCCATAGACAAGAGGTGGGCTAAGAGCGAGAGAGAAAGGAAGATAGATGTGTCTGTTGGAAGACCAAAAGTTCTGGATTGAAGCATGTCAGCTTGGGCGTTTGTGGATACATTTACAGCAAGTTACTTGATGGGGTAACTGCTATTGTGGTGGCTTATTAAATGTTAATTTTCTGACATGAAAACTGAAAAAATGTAGGGTTGCTTTGGTGGTACACTGGATTTTGAGTATAAAATGAACCGGAAGTGTTTTTGTAATCTGGCCATTAATTTTTGTTGCATGTCATCCCCTTATTTTTCTCCCATTTTTCCTTTTATATCAACTATTTAACGTCTAATGTACACAATTTGCCTAAGATGAACCTTTTAACAATAGATGAGGTGGTAATTGTGCACAGTGTTTTACTTAAAAACATTCAGAATGTCCTTTGATGGTTTTTAGATGTCATGACTAACATTCAGATCTGATGTGCTCTCCATTTATCCACCTCTGTGTCTAGGTGGAGGCATTGATGGAGAAAGTGGAGGAGCTAACAAAGGATAAGGTGAATCTGGTGGAGGAGTACGAATCCAAGCTGGCCAAGGCTCAGGAGTATTATGAGAGAGAGCTGGAGGCTATGAGGAGAACACACCAGCTCACCACTGAGAACCTGCTGGCCTGGAAAAGGACCGAGGTAAAACCATGATGCAGACTCGGGTTATAAGACAGGAGGAAACCAGCAACCATGTTTTGTTACATAGTGACAGGTGGCGATGGTGTTCATGTCTCAGAGTGAATGTGGTCATTTTCTGCTCATGTTTAGGTCGAGCTTCGTAAGGAGTTCCAGGCTCAGGAGGCGGCACTGCAGCGCTCGCTGTCCAAGCTGAGGAGCGAACTTCAGAAAGCCCAGGAGGAGGCCAGAGAAAACCGAGACAAGACCAACAGGCTGCAGACGTCTCTGGCCAACGCCGATGGAACTATCAAGGTGTGTGTGTGTGCGTGTGTGTCGATAAATGCATGGGTTGGTGAGTGAATGTCTGAATAAAATGAATAAGACCACAATAAGAACATCCGACTCACCACTGCTACTTATGCTAAGTGCCCATTTCTTGTGGTATTTATTTTATTCCCAACACAGCACAATTAGTGTCTCTTTTGGTTAAATGTGGGTAGCACAGTGCATTAAATTGGATCAAAACAGTTGCTTCTAACAAATTCAAAAGTAAAAGCCTCAGGGTGAAAACTGTTTTCAAGAGTCTCTGGTGGTAAGCATAGTGTGGTGTGCACTGATGGTCCTGCAAGCAAAACATGTAGAGTAGGAATAGCTGGAAAGGTTTGTGTGATTCTAGGCTGCAGTGGAAGAGACAGCACTGAGTTTAAAGATAGCACATGTTGGATTTCTGTGCTGTAAGTTTGCATACATTTCTGTTCCTCTGTGTGTGTGGTGCAGAATCTGCACAAGCAGCTGGAAGAAGCCATCCAGGATGGAGAGATCTGGGTGATGCAGCTGAAGGACACAGAGTATGAGCTCGAAGGCAGCAGGGAGCGAGTTCAACAGCAGGCAACTGAAATCCTCCACAAAGCCAGTAAGACGCTGGAGTCACACACGTTTTACACGTCCGTTAAGTGGAATTTCTACTGTTTGTTAATGTAGAGCTTCTTCTGATTTTGTGCATTACTGCTGTTGGTCACGATAACATGTTGGTCACCAATTCATTGCACAAATTCAAAAGTGATTATCACTCGATTGGCAACAGTATAGCTACATTAGATTCAGGGTGTTGACCAGGTCACAGCTGGTCGGTTGTTTGCCCTGAAGCCTGTCTGACACACAGTCTGTTCCCAGGTCAGATCGGCTCTCTGCAGGCCACCCAGATGGCTCATGAGGCGACCATCAGGAACCTGGGCCAGGAGCAGAACCGGCTGAAAGAGAAGATCAGCAGGCTGGAGGAGGAGAGAGAGGCTCTGCTCAACCAAAGCCAAGCTGCCAACGAACAGCACAAGCAACAAGTGCTCAAACTAGAACAGGTACTTTAAACCATTCTTTGATTCCAGTCCAGTCTTAAGGAGAGCGCATGTGAAGCCAGCTTCTTCTGTCCTCCCCAGTCTCTGCGTGAGGAGCACCAGGGTTACGAGAAGGAGCTCTCCAGACTGAGAGCGCACTACGAGGAGGAGACACTTCGCTTCAAGGAGGCGCAGGTCAAAGCGCTGGAGGAGATGGAGGACAAGCACCAAGCCATGACGGAGGAGGCCCAGAAGGAGAAAGAGGAGGAGAAGAAACTCCTGATGACAGTGAGTCCTGCACATAACTACATTTTGTTCACACAGCAGTGCGCACACATACAAAATATTATTGGACTTCATATTGTTCTAATTCTGCTAGAGTTGCTCTCATTTAACATTGATCGAGGAAAAGAAAGTTAACCATTTTTTCAAAAGCAGATATTTTGATGAACCTTATATAGGATAAAACATGGAGTAGGCCAGGAGTGAAGTCACAGATTTTCAGATTAAATCAGTAACTACCACACAGTGAAAGTTGCTCTCAGGGTTTTTTTTTTATCTCTATTTTCTGTGCCACAACATCAGCACATTAAATTTTATCCTCAGGTCGAATGGCCTCAGTCATTTAAGAAGTATGTATCTTTAAGAAATGAACATCCCCCCTGACTGCACTCATTTAATTAAGTCAATATTAAAACTAGGACCTGAGCAACATCACTCCCTCCCTGTGTTTCCCTCTGCGTCTTTCATCCTGTTATCGGTTTTCTTTTTCACCCTCCTGTCGTTCTTTTATCACTCCTTGTCCTCTCTCTTCTGTGACTGAGTTCAAATGGTTTGCATGAAGGAAGTACAAATGTCCTGGTTGCCAAAGGAGCAGCAACAACATTAAACACATTAAATTAATTTGTCCTGCCTATAGCAGTATTATAAACGAATGGTTTAAAGCAGGGGCTCTGAACCTTTTGTAACTTAAGGCCCACTTAAATGTCCAAGGACCACCTTGTCAAAGAGGATAAAACAATGCATCCAGCATATTGATTTAATATATTCAGAGTCTATTTCCTCACCACACACTTTGGAGCTTTTACTGATGCAGGGTTGTTTCCAAAATGAATTTTTCGTTTCTAAAACTGGTCCATTCTGTGCCAAGGGATCTGAGGAAACATTAGCTAGCTAGCTATCGTTTCCTGATGATGTGTCACGATATTCAAACGGTACTGGTCATTGAAATTATGCATTTTAATTTGATTTGCAGTACTACTTCACAGCCCTCTAGATGGCACTCTGAGGCCCAGCAGTGGGCCACAGCCCCCTGGTTGAGAGTGGTTGCTGTAGAGCAGCACGGAAGACTCTTCCTTACTAGTCTGTTTTGGTGCCTGTCTGTAGTGCCATGTTTTTCAGCAGGGGTCGGGGTACTTGCACCAATCCAAGCCATGAGCATCTGCAACCATTAGCACTGTGCCATATGAAAAACATCAGTCAAAAATGAGACTCAGTTACAGCTGGTCAGAGCTGAGCATGGCGATGAAAGATTTTATCCTCTGATGGAAATGCCAGCAATAAGTGTTGCACCATAAAGCGGGTGACTCGTGAGAGAAAAGTAACGGTCAAGCTCAGGACAACAGAGGCTGAGATACTCTACTCCAAAAACTGTTTATCCTGCACTTGTCCTGATGCAAACTCCAGAGTATTTCTTTATAAGGGAACATCCAGGCTTGGTAAAAACCTGTGTCTTTCAAAATCCACAGCCCTGTTTGTAACAGACTTTCTGCCACATGTAACAGGAACAAAAATGGCAGACATTTCTGTCTGAGTCATTTGTTTGCTCTGTTGCTTTTGACAGTATTGGAAGAACTAAATCAATATATATAATTTACTGTCATTCCCTGTGTGCTTTCTTAACAGCTTCAAGTGCATGCAGACCATTTCTGAATAACTTGCCACACAGACTGTGTCACCTGTCGGTTCAATCAAACTCTGGCGTGTTGGTCGGTTGGTTTGGGTTGTTGTTATGGCCAAGTGTGAGAGCTGCCAGTCAAAGTCTTGGTTTCTGTCCAGTTACAGTTCGACTCCATTGCAGTTTGTGTTGTACAGATGTATCAGTAACAGTGTACGTGCTGACTGTAGTACAGAAGTGTCATAGCTGTATAAGTAATGTATATAATGTGTTTATGTGAGATCATTTGGTTTAAAGGGTAGCACATAGTATGTGTGTGCATGTGACATGTACCCCTCTGAAACTTTACAGTACAAAAGGCTTCTTTTTGTCCAGTTTCTACCTGTTTGTCTGTATTTGTGACAAATGCAGCACACATGCAGTTATTTCTTCAGGATTCCTGTACAGTATGTTGAGCCCCAGTCATTCACATTCACATGCCTCAACCTGCTTTTAACAGACATTAAGAATCCCTTATATACAGTGCCTTGCGAAAGTATTCGGCCCCCTTGAACTTTGCGACCTTTTGCCACATTTCAGGCTTCAAACATAAAGATATAAAACTGTCATTTTTTGTGAAGAATCAACAACAAGTGGGACACAATCATGAAGTGGAACGAAATTTATTGGATATTTCAAACTTTTTTAACAAATAAAAAAACTGAAAAATTGGGCGTGCAAAATTATTCAAATCCACATAAGGGATGACGGCAACATTCATAGATCCTGGAATGCACAATGAGGGGCAATGTTCATTCCTATTACAGAGGCCCACTGAAATTTTTTTGAGGAAAAGCTGTGTTAGACTGCATATTGTTTATAGTAAAGTATTTTTATATACAAATATAAAAATGAAAATGTTTCTGGAGTGGGACTTTAATTAATTATAGAAGTTGTGCAGAAGCTGCCCATAGCTCTACACAGTGATCCATGTGTGTACTGTATGTGTTTCTATGCTGCTCCAAATGAGTCTGTTCTGGTTCAACTTGTCTTATTAAATGAGCTTAAAAATAAAGTGACACCTTAGTTATAAAACACTGAGCAGGCTGTAACACACAAGAGTGTGTCCACATGTTTGGTGTGTCTCCCAGGTGGCTTGTGGCAAACTTTAAACGACACTTTTTATGGATATCTTTAAGAAATGGCTTTCTTCTTGCCACTCTTCCATAAAGGCAGATTTGTGCAGTATACGACTGATTGTTGTACTATGGACAGCGTATACCATCTCAGCTGTAGATCTCTGCAGTTCATCCAGAGTGATCATGGGCCTCTTGGCTGCATCTCTGATCAGTCTTCTCTTTGTATGAGCTGAAAGTTTAGAGGGACGGTCAGGTCTTGGTAGATTTGCAGTGGTCTGATACTCCTTCCATTTCAATATTATCGCTTGCACAGTGCTCCTTGGGATGTTTAAAGCTTGGGAAATCTTTTTGTATCCAAATCCGGCTTTAAACTTCTCCACAACAGTATCTCGGACCTGCCTGGTGTGTTCTTTGTTCTTCATGATGCTCTCTGCGCTTTAAACGGACCTGTGAGACTGTCACAGTGCAGGTGCATTTATACGGCGACTTGATTACACACAGGTGGATTCTGTTTATCATCATTAGTCATTTAGGTCAACATTGGATCATTCAGAGATCCTCACTGAACTTCTGGAGAGAGTTTGCTGCACTGAAAGTAAAGGGGCTGAATAATTTTGCACGCCCAATTTTTCAGTTTTTTATTTGTTAAAAAAGTTTGAAATATCCAATAAATTTCGTTCCACTTCATGATTGTGTCCCACTTGTTGTTGATTCTTCACAAAAAATGACAGTTTTATATCTTTGTTTGAAGCCTGAAATGTGGCAAAAGGTCGCAAAGTTCAAGGGGGCCGAATACTTTCGCAAGGCACTGTACTTGGAGGCAGCATGGTATATAACTACCAAATTATTATACTTTGTCTCTAAAAGTCTGGACTTTTTCTTTAAAATTGCGCTTTATTCTAAAGTGAAGACATATTTGGAAAAAAAATCAACTGTGTTATCTGCCCATTTCTTCTCTTTCATAACATTTCTCTTTTTTTTTCTCCTTCTGGACTCAAACCTCTAATGCTGTTTAAAGCTGAAAACTAATTGGTAGATGTTCAATGACATTAAATCCTGCCTCCAAGCCAAGTGAGAGTGCTGTGTGAGTATGTGGGTGTGTCATTGTAAGTTCCCTAAAAGAAAGAGCGATGGAGGGGAAAGGGAAATATTTTCTAAGCTGTGCTCTGCCTTGTCATCTGTAGATTAATGTCTGTTTTCATTTGGAGCCAAATTAAAGAAGATGCAGAAGACAGAGGGTGAGACAAAGAGGGAAACAGAGAAGAAGATTTTGAACTTTTATTTCTGTCAGCAGAATATTAACAATGAGTAATTCTACAAATTTCATGTGCTGTTTTAATTTATAATTCATCAAAATCAACAAAGGTGTGGTAAACCTTATAGTCATATTTTTAACCTATGTGCAGCTCATGGCTGTGTTGTGGATGTAGGTGAGTTTATTCACTTATCTGAGGGGTTTGTTCCGACGTGGAGGAAACTATGACACAGTAAACTGTCTTGACTCTATCAGCTGTCTGTACACCTCAATGTCTTACTGAAAGCAGTAGCAGCTGAAGATTTGGAATGGAAACATTAACATTGTCTTCTCTTGTTCTACAAGTCCAAATATATACAGTGTTTTTTTTATTTCATTTTTTGGCTGTTTTGCCTTTATTTAAGTGTATGTCAAGGCAAGTCGCTGAGAGGCAGACAGGAAATGAGAACTGTAACAAAGGTTTATAGTTGGACTTGAACTGTCCCTGGTATATGGCGTGCTGCACCGTAACCATTCAGCTATTGGGGTGCCCCTTGAAATCCAAATATATTTATATATTTGGATATTTATATACATATATATATATTTATATACATATATATATAATTTACTACAACCTAACACAAGGCAAACCTGCTGTATATTAATCCTAGATTAGGTTAAGGTGTATTTTAGGGATGTGATTTGTTTATCTGTTTATTATTCTGGGTTGAACAGCAGAAACTGGTGAGTATGCTCCTTATGAGTTGAACGAGGCATTGTGCTTACTTGTTTGGACAGTATGCTAGTATGCTCCCTAGTTCAGCAGCTACTGTAGCTAAGTAGGTATTTTCATTCTCCAGTTCAAAAATATACACAGCAGCAACACCATGCAAATCTTAGTGTGACAGTCCAGGCCGAAAGAAGCTCTGTTTATGAGCTGTCTGCAGTTCTGTTCAGACTGTGTTTTGTTTGACAACTTTTCCTGGTATATGACTCCTTTCACAGTAAAACATCCACTAATATCAAGGGATGCTAGAGATGAATAGAATGGAGAGGGTGAGGTGTTGAAGAAATGTATGAAAAAGGAGAATTTCACAAGATAATTTTGGAGTGGGCCAGAAAGGATTTAATGCTGTTTGAAGGGTTATAGAAGCTGGCCATTAAAGTTTAAATGGCAACTCACGCACCCCTCCTTGATTCAAAAGTCATGCTTCACATTCCACATGAGGGCACAAATGGGATTTACTTCACAGTGGCTTCTTCAGTCTCCTCCTTCTGATAAAGATCATACTTTTAGGGTATTTCAGTAAGAAATCTTTTGAAATCTGGTTTCTGCAAAAAAAAAAACACATGATGGTTTGTGTTTTCAAGTGTCAGAATGGTGGTTATGTTATTTGAGGATAAAGTTTTTAAAATCTCTGGTTTCATGGTTGCTCTGAACACTTAGAGCCTGATTTCTGATTGTGTCCTTCCTATTCTTCTCACCAGCTTTTTCTTCCTTCTCCTTCCCAGAAAATGAGTCAAGAGTTTGAGATTAAGCGCCTGTCGCTGGAGGAACAGAGAGACCGTCTCCAGCAGCAACTGGACAACTTGAAGGAGGAGCTGTCGGCCAAACTCAATATGGCCAATCAGGAGGTATGAAACATTCAGTCAGCTCTGCTTACAGTTGTAAAGTATGACTGAGCTCATCTACCATTTTCTGACTTTTCCTATCACTATGACTTGTGACGATTACTGGTGATCTCTGCAGGTTTCCCACCTCCAGGATCTGGTGAGGGAGGGGGAGCAGAACCTGGGCTCAGCTCAGACACAGATCACCTGCCTGAAGGAGACTCAGGAGAAACTCAGGATAGAACTAGATGCAACTAGAGCCCGGGTCCGAGAGACCAGTAACCTGCTAACAGACCTGCAGGTGAGCTTAAACCCAAGAGGGTTTAGGGTCTGAGAGAACCTGAAAACCAAGATGAAATTCCTTGGAAATTATTAGGAGTTTACTCAGGAATTAAATCAAAATAAAGTGATAGGCCCATAGCTGAAAATGAGAGTGATGAGAGTCACTCAGTTGGACAGTAAGCTTCTCCAGCAGCCAGTCTTCTTTGCCTGGTCAGTCATTTTGTCCATCATGTAGTGTGGCGATAGCAGGTCAGTCAAGTTCAATTAACTGACTTTGCTGACAGATTTGATTTGATTTATTCTTTCAAGCATGTAAAACAGTTGATATGACAACACACATAATTTTACACACAATCCAATATCAATTTGCTTATACCTAGTACATGCAGAAGGAAGACAGAAGAACAAAGAGGGAGTGAGAAGGAAGGAAGCAAGGAAGGAAGGGGAGGAACAGTTTGAATGCAGGAAAGAGGAAATAAGTGCAGTACTGAAGCCCAGCTGTGAGATAATGATGATGAGGCTGTTATGAGTTGAGTGGTTGTGTGTTTAAAAGCACCCTGCTGGTATGAGCGGGACATGAACAGTGTGTTTGTTAGAAAGGAACTGGATCTTTTTATTTGGATTATTATTATCATTATAATTAATATGAAGAGTAATGTCCTTTTAAGGGTCCCCCTAGTAATAATTTTGGGTCACCAATGAATTAAAATATGGTTTGAAAAATCCCAGTGCAAAAATGGAAGTTGTTTGGGAAATTGCACCAAATTAATAAAAGGAAACTACCAGAGAATCAAGCAGATGTGTTGAATTTGACACAACCAGCAACAGCAACATGCACAAGACGAAGTTTAAATGAAAGAGTAAATATGGGGAATAACAGTAGTGTTTCTTCTTTGTGTTGCAGAGCAGGCACACTGATAAGTGACTAAGTCAGAGCTGCTGGAAATGCACAGGAAGATGCGTGAACAAAGAGTGACTAATAAAAGACAGAAGGATAGTGATAAAAGACAGAGGGACTGGAGTGGTAATTACATAAAAATGCTGAGTGATGCTTTTTTGCTTCCCCACCTGGGTCCCTGGGTTCCATAATAAAACAAGGGATTTGTACTGTTAAAAAAGACAAGCCTGACACGGGGTTGTGTCTTTATTCCCACTGAACTCAGTGCAGCATAGAGACAAGCACTAAGGCCTGCTTCACACTGAATTGAGACCAACTAGTGTTTAAGTGTCAGATGAAAATGTGTTTATGTATGTGCTGAAATAAATAAGATGATACAAATGCATGCAAAGTTTGCAATAAGCACTAAATGTTGCACTGAAATGCTCTTTCATACCGCTGTACAATGAAATAATCGAGCTTATTGTGATCAAAATGTGGGGCTCCGTTACAGTGAGCTGTGAGCGGTTCTTCTCGTCTTTTGTCTCTAACACAGATGAGATCATTATCTGAGAAATCCTGCCCAGTGTGGCCCACAGATTTGGCTTGTTGATGCTTTTCCATCACTATAAATATCCAGCCTCCCTGATGGTTTGTGCAATATCCTCAAAAAACATGAACAGTGGCTGCAGAGAGACAGGAACAGTGGACAGTTGTTGTTAAAACATGATTAGTAGAAGCTAATAATAAGGATCAAATATATCTATAGACTGAGATTTAAAAAATGTCCTTTTTAGCATTTTGACTCATTGAAATTAACATTTTCTGTGATCCTGAACAACTGAGGCTGGATTTAATCACTGGAGCGCTTCCCCTCAGAGCAAAACAGGAGAGCTGTTAGGTCCTGTAATGAGCTCGTCAGCAGAAAGACCCCGGAGCCTCTTCAGCAGCTGGAAACGGCTGACCTGGTGAAGTTTGTTCCCGCCTGCAAACCAGCACATTACAAATGCCCTGTAGCAGCGGCATTATAAATACATGTGGAGGTGGCCATTATGAATCATCCACCCCTCAGCTTTTGAAATGCTGCCTGTGGTCAGAATTTGAGAAGGTTTTTTTATTTATTTATTTATTTATTTTTACATTTAGTAGATGCACACTGACTAAAATGTACTCTGTCTGATTGGGGCCTTAGTTTGCAGCGTGACCTTGATTACAAATGTGGTTGTTATGCTGTTTTTCTGCTGAGACATTTAAGTCCTGGTCACAAAAATAAGTAATGTGTGATGATGTGAGATAACACACAAAGTCACAGGATAACAACTTTCAAAAATATCTACAAAGGCAGAGAAGGGTCAAAAACAAGCCTGGCATGATAGCAAAACAAAAGACTATAGCTTGGATCTCACAAAATTTCATGGATAAAATTTGTTTGTTTGTTTTTGTAGGAGGAGATCGAAACCCAGAAACAGCAGCATGAGGCCAGAGTGATGTCCATCAGAACAGAGGAGAAACAGAAGATGGACAAGATGGCAGATGACTTGGACCAGAAATGGAGAGACGCACTGCGGTAATAACTCTCTCAGCCTGTCAGTCTCACTTTCTCTTGTTTTCCTTCTCCCTTTTGTTTTCTCATTCATCTCTGTCATCTCTTGCTGCCTCTGCTTCACAGTCACACTTGTTATTTGCATACTGTAACAAGTCGATTTGTTTCGCCGGCGCAGTCATGGATATAAACAAGAACAAACAAGAAATGAACACAACTGAAGGAGGTGTATAGTGTTTAGATATCCTGTAGCAGGACAAAATGCAGCAAGGTGAGGACACTAACATGATTAAGAATAATTCGACCAAACTGTCTCTGTGTAGGGAGGAAGTGCGTTTGCTAAAGGAGGAGCTGAACGAGGAGTATGAGGCAGACAAACAGACAGCACTGACACAGCTCTCCCAGCAGAAGGAAGTGGAGATGATGGCGGCAAGAGAGAGCTGGCAGAGGAAGGTGGAGGACCTGCTGGAACAGGTAAAACACACACTAACACATGGAAGTGTCACGAGAGTCAACAGGAGGCAATGGGGTAAAACTAAATTGTGTTTACTGGCCATTAATATTTCTTTAAAGCAATTACCAGTAATACCTTATTTCAGATCTGTTGTACTGTCATGCCAACAGCACTTGGGATCAAGCCTCTTAGCTTTTGCCCACACCTCAGAATTAAAGTATTTCAGATGCTCTGTTTGGTTTCAGAAGGCAGTGCCGATATTCTTTATGCATGTTTGACCACTTCTGTGACCAGTAGTAGTAATTATTAATGATGACATCTGTGTTTGTCTTCTATTGAGATCGGAACCTCAAATTGTTCAGTTTAAATCAAGGCTGAATGTAGCTGAGAGCAGTTCTCATGTCTTCTGTGGCTTTAATAGCTGTACTGTAGGAGCACCCCATGGCCTGACCTTTACCCCTGCACCCGCTTTGGGCATCAGTTTGATTGACAGCTCCAGCTGATGTTGTTGAAGCAGTGGGTCCGAGGGGAAGTCTAGTGTCTTCTCATCCTCCCTCTTGCTGAATGTGTCAGCAACCACTGCACCTGCTTTCCAATTCACTTAATTCATACATCAACAATGAACCTTCCTGAAAATAACAAAGGATTTAACTTCTCATCCTGTGCTGTTTTTCCTCCTCTTACTGTACTTAGTTCTTTGCCAACAGCCATGCCAAATGTTTTTAATTAGTTTTCCCCAAAGCCATATCTCTTAGCCACGTGATACAGTGTGTGTGTGTTTGTGCTTAATATGGACTTGAAATAAATAGTTGATTCTTTTTTTTTTCTCTCATTATAGCTACAATTACTGCAGAAGTTTTCTAATGAGAAAGCTGCTCAGGTCACACTTAGAGCACTGTAGCAACAGTGAAAACTATTTGATGCTTTGCTGAAAGCTTTTATTCTCATGCAGCCGTCTGTGCTGCCTCTGGGAACATCAGAGCTCAGCTGAGTCACGACTCATACCTCAGTCAGGGTCGCCCTGATTAAGACGCTGCCTTGTAAACATGTTGGAGCTAGCAACCACCAGTGCCAGCTTGGCAGCTTTTCAGACACCCTAAAACCAAACCGTGACAAAAGCAGTTCATGACCGAATGCTCCAAAGTTCAAGGAACAGTCTGACTTTCAGAAAATGTTGGTTTCAGGCAGTCATGGAGAAGAAACATTATCACTTTAGTCAAATCCCCCAAATGTATTACAACTCTGTTTCCAGTTCACTATAGAGACATGACACCTTAGGCAGACATGTCTTGTGTGTGAGCTCTGTGATGAACCACTGGCCAGAGAATTAGAGATTGAGCTCTTCCAAACTTCAATAAATATTGACTTTGAGCAATTGCAAGCTTTCACTTAAAAAAAATCCAAAATTCAAGTATGTCCCATTAGAAATTCAGCTCTTATGCCTGTTCATATCTGGTCAAACCAAGCTTTGGCCTTCTGCATTTGATGGAGATGACATGACAGTTAAGTGGAGCTTAAGTGGAAAAGGGATAATTTATTTACAGGATATGAAAGTCTTTAAATTGTTTTTTGTCTCTGGGTGGAGGTGCTATCGTTATCTGTAATGATTTGGTTTTCATTAAGATATTTTCATTATGAGGCTCCAGCCACAGGCTGGTGTTTGTATGTGCACAGGAGAATGTGTTTAATTAGACACATGCCCTGCAGGTTGTTTAAGGTATTTGCTGCTCATTAAACTTGTATGTCTAGTTAAAAATGATTAACATAACAGTAAGTGGACACAGGAAACTTTACAGGTCATCTGTCTTTTAAAATCCATATCCAGTGTAGAACCCCACACACTTCATCCCACCCATGCTCCTCATTCTTTCATTTTAAATCTATATTACCTTACATTTGCTAATGTTGTGGTCCTATAGCACTAAATCCTGCTGGGGATTTAACTGGTGGAACTTGAGGAAGAGTGGCATGTAGAGGACCAGAGCTGTCGGTCTGAGAGAGCTCTGCCATTCACAGCCGCTTAAGCCCCTAATAGTTCCAGCATCTCCTCAAAACAAAACCATTTTGTGCACATTGATGGGGCTTATGGCAGTTGGCTGCTTGTTATGTGGCTGTGTGTGCTTGTTGTCTGACAAGCTGTCAGCTCACTGAGATGAGCAGCGAAATCTCCAACTAGAGCGCACTGTGTGGCTTATATCCATGTTTGGATGTCACAACAAATATAGACCATCTCTCTAAAGTCAAACCAATCTGTGGAAAAAGAGGATGAAAGAATTAAGAACAGACTCAGGAGGAACTACAAAGAAATGCTGACCTAATTACTGTAAATGTGAGTGTGTTGCTCTTTTCCTGGAAGTAGATATTTCTTAAATAACACAGGCCATATACTTTAAAGAAGAAATTTAAAGTGATGGCTGCATAGTCAGAGATAGAAAACCACTCAAAGTCATACAACAGGGGATGTAATTACTGTTTTTATGGTTATAGTGCAGGGACGTCAACCTCTCCCCATCAGTCCATGTCTTTGCTTCTTTACTCACTGCTGTTTTGCCTTCAGTGTGAATACCAGTAATTATTATCTCCCCTTCTGTCTGTCTGTGTCCCTCGCTCTCTGTCCAGATCTCTCTGCTGAAACAGTCCCTGGAGCTGCAGCTGTCTCAGTCACAGTCGGCTCTCCAGCAGCTGCAATCTCAGTTCAACCAGGAGAGAGAGCTGCTGAGCCAACAGCTGAAAGGTAAGCTGCCCTCTGCCCTTTCCTTCCAAGGGAGAACTGCATTATTATGTTATTTATAGCTGGAATATTTAGCAATACCCATTCAATATATGTATATTCAGTAATTACCTCTTTACACATTGTTATTAGTGGGGTCGACCTTTCAAGACAAAATGGATGCATGTCTGTCTTGTTAAACAGAATGTAAACACATCTGCTGTTGATGCACCACAGTGCACATGCCCGTGGCTCTGTTTGTGTGCAGAGATGCAGAGAGAGCATCAGAGGAGAGAGCATCGGTTACAGGAGGCTCACTGCTGTGCCCTCAGCACCATGGAGGAGGCCAGACAGCACCAGATCAGGGTAGGACACACACATATCAAGCATTCTACAGCTTGGGATTTGACATGTTTAATGCAGTTGTAGTCCATGTGTCTTCACAATGTTGTCTACTGAATATCAGATGTATTCCTTTACTTACTCCTAGAAAAAATAATTTACCCAAGGGACACACATTCTCTGTCGAACACAACCACTGCAGCCTGCTGTCATCTCTCACTCCCTTAAGTGTCCAAGGGAGGTAAGAGGTGGAAGAAGACATTTTATATAATGCAACAAGGTGTTAATCAAACCTGCACAGCCTTAGAAAGACGTTTGAACCACTCTGCCTCACAGAACTGTTTCAGCTCAGATATAGGACATCTGGAGTGAACGGCTCTCTGAGGTCATACATTTACTGTAACAGATGTTAACCAGCTCTACTCAGTCCTTTAAGCCGTTAGCTGTTTGTTTGGGCTTCTTGTTACCTTGTGGAGCGTCATCTTAGCTGGGTGCCTACAACACCGAGCATTAAATCATCAAATCAGCACTTGTTGATCATAAGTCTGCATCAGGCACGGTGCTTCTTGTGAAAAACACACTCAATCCACACCTCCCAGGTTCGCTATCTCCTGACTCCAGTCAGCTTTTGTTAATGTCATTAGCGTAAGGGCACAGGACACTGTGAATGTTTGAGTGACGTATTCATACGGACTTGTGTGCACCTGTCATAAGATTACATTTTATTCTCCTGATTTTTCTGCTTGACTTGCACTAGTCAGAAGCTTTTCAGTATCGTTGTGTCTCTGCTAGGAATGCTATCCGACATGAGGCTGAAAACTAAATCAAATTCAGGCACAAAAATTAACAGAGGTACTCGGCCAAGCTTCAAGCACTGAACGCCTGTGGGGACTGAACTGTGTCTTTGCAGTGGTGCACAAATGCTTGTATCCCTGAACCACTTGGCTTCACTCTACCTTTAGTTCAGGCTGAATTAACTCTCCTCTGGGCCCTTCATGTGCCCTTTATGGCACTGTGCACCTGTGAAACTGTGCCTCTGAGTATAAAAATGTGCTGCTGCTGCTGCTGTACCTCTGTTTGTTTCATCTACTTGTTATTTTCTGTGTAGCGATCTGTGGTCAGCAAAAGTCCCTGAAATAGTGTTTCTGGTGCGAGACGAGATCCTCCGTACGAGGACTGTAAAATAATATATTTTCTCTGACATGTAACTTGATTTGTTGTCCTGAGATTCTCTACACAACTACATTATCCTGAAGTGGTTTGCTCCTTAGAAGAAATTGCTGTTTAGCCTCATATTTGGAAAAGTCTGTGTTTTAAATTAGATTTTTTTTCCCACCAATTTATTCTACAGCACTCTAACTATTTCTTTGTGTGTACTTATAAAAGAGAAGCACAGTCTCTCTCTGTGAGTGATAGTCTACAAACCTACTAGCACAGTAACCAGGATACACATAGAACAATAAGTAAATGGAAATGTGTTGTTAGCTTTAATCTAATGGTCCATGTTCCTGCTAATTAGAGGTGTATGAGTGATAAAGGAAACAAATCAGCTGAGAAAGTTATAGGTCATGTAAAGCCCACCTCCCTATTAAATGATACTAAAAATGAGCTGGGATGATAAAAGCTGATTGTTGACTTTACAGCTGAAGTTTTCACATACAGTAATTACATTGCAGGAAGACACATCTGATGACCTTTGCTGCTTATGACTTTCCTTCTTGTGACTATGGAGGTGTTTCATTTC